TATTATTTTTTGTAAAGACAAGATCTCACCATGTTGCCCAGGCTGGTCTCGAATTCCTGGGCTCAAGCAATCCTCCTAGAGGATCCCAAGGTGCTGGGATTACGCATATGAACCAATGCACCCAGCCTTATTTTGTTTTGTTTTTCAGCAGCTTTATCAACATGTAATTCACATACCATACAATTCACCCATTTAGAGTGTGTAGTGGTTTTTAGTATGTTCACAGAGCCACACATCCATCACAACAACCAATGTTAGAACATTTTTATCACCTCAAAAGAAATCCTATACTCGCAGCTCCCACCCCTCCATCCCCATCCACCCACACCCAAGACAGCTGCTCATCCTTTCTGTCTCTGTAGATTTCCCCATTGTGGGCATTTCTTACCAATCGAATCACATAATACACGGCCTTTAGTGCCTGGCCTTTTTCACTTAGCATGTTTTCAGATTTCATCCATGTTGTTGCAAATATCAGTGCAGTTGGCCTCTTTATCCATGGGTTTCACATCTACGGATTCAATGAACTATGGATCAAAATACTTAGGGACCAGGTGCTGTGGCTCATGCCTCTAATCCCAGCACTTTGGGAGGCCAAGGCAGGCAGATGACTTGAGGTCAGGAGTTTGAGACCAGCCTGGCCAACTGGATGAAAGCCCATCTCTACTAAAAATACAAAAATTAGCCGGGCATGGTGGTGGGCACCTATAATCCCAGCTACTCAGGAGGCTGAGGCAGGAGAATCACTTGAACCCGGGAGGTGGAGGTTGCAGTGAGCCAAGATTGCGCCATTGTACTCCAATCCGGGCAATAGAGCAAGATGCTGTCTAAAAAAAAAAAAAAAAGAAAAAACTCAAGAAAAGAAAATGAATGGTTGTTTGTATACTGAACATGTACAGATTTTTTTTGCTTGTCATTATTCCCAAAACAATACAGTATAACAATTATTGCTGTGGCATTTATATTTTACTAGCTATTGTAAGTGATCTGGAGGTAATTTAAAGTATATGGGGTCAGGGGTGTTGTGGCGGTTGTGTGCAAATACTGTTCCATTTTCTATAACGGACTTGAGTAGCTGTGGATTTCGGTGTCCACAGGGAGTCCTGGAACCCATATCCGTGGGTACTGAGGGATGGCGGTCCTCGTTTTTATTTACTGTTAAGTGGTATTCCGTTGTGTGGATACATCTCATTTTGCTTATTTATTCTTCCACTGGTGGACTTTCGAGTTGTTTTCACCTTTTGGGTGCTGATAAAAATGCTGTAAACATTAGCATTAGTGTTTTCGTGTTGACTTAGTTTTCGTAGCTCTTGGATATACCTTGGAATAGAATCGCAGGGTCGCATGGGAATTTGGTGTTTAATCTTTGGAGGAGCTATCCGACTTTTCCAAAAGCAGCTGCGCCATTTCATGTTCCCGCCAGCACTGCCTGAGGATGCCAGGTTCTCCACGTCCCACCAACCCTGACTACTGTCTGTTTTCTATTTTTTGCTGTTCTAGTGAGTGAAGTGGTGTTTCACTGCAGCTTCGAAGTGAGTGTGAAGTGGTGTTTCACTGTGGTTTTGAAGTGAGTGTGAAGTGTTTCACTGCAGTTTCAAAGTGAGTGTGAAGTGGTATTTCACTGCGGTTTCAAAGTGAGTGTGAAATGGTGTTTCACTGCAGCTTTGAACTGAGTGTGAAGTGCTGTTTCACTGTGGTTTCAAGGTGAGTGTGAAGTGCTGTTTCACTGCGGTTTTGAACTGAGTGTGAAGTGGTGTTTCACTGAGCTTTCAAAGTGAGTGTGAAGTGGTGTTTCACTGCAGCTTTGAAGTGTGAAGTGCTGTTTCACTGCAGTTTTGAACTGAGTGTGAAGTGGTGTTTCACTGTGGCTTCAAGGTGAGTGTGAAGTGGTGCTTCACTACGGTTTCAAAGTGAGTGTGAAGTGGTGTTTCACTGAGGCTTCGAAGTGAGTGTGAAGTGGTGTTTCACTGCAGTTTTGAAGTGAGTGTGAAGTGGTGTTTCACTGCGGTTTTGAACTGAGTGTGAAGTGGTGTTTCACTGAGCTTTCAAAGTGAGTGTGAAGTGCTGTTTCACTGAGGCTTTGAAGTGAGTGTGAAGTGCTGTTTCACTGGCTTCTAGGTGAGTGTGAAGTGCTGTTTCACTGTGGTTTCAAAGTAAGTGTGAAGTGTTTCACTGCAGCTTCGAAGTGAGTATGAAGTGGTGTTTCACTGTGGTTTCAAAGTGAGTGTGAAGTGGTGTTTCACTGCGGCTTTAAAGTGAGTGTGAAGTGCTGTTTCACTGCGGTTTTGAAGTGAGTGTGAAGTGCTGTTTCACTGCAGTTTTGAACTGAGTGTGAAGTGGTGTTTCACTGCGGTTTCAAAGTGAGTGTGAAGTAGTGTTTCACTGCAGCTTTGAAGTGAGTGTGAAGTGCTGTTTCACTGGTTTTGAAGTGAGTGTGAAGTGGTGTTTCACTGTGGTTTTGAGGTGAGTGTGAAGTGGTGTTTCACTGTGGTTTCAAAGTGAGTGTGAAGTGGTGTTTCACTGCAGCTTTGAAGTGAGTGTGAAGTGCTGTTTCACTGGTTTTGAAGTGAGTGTGAAGTGCTGTTTCACTGTGGTTTTGAGGTGAGTGTGAAGTGGTGTTTCACTGGTTTTGAAGTGATTGTGAAGTGGTGTTTCACTGGTTTTGACGTGAGTGTGAAGTGGTGTTTCACTGTGGCTTTGAAGTGAGTGTGAAGTGGTGTTTCACTGCGGTTTCGAGGTGAGTGTGAAGTGCTGTTTCACTGCGGTTTTGAACTGAGTGTGAAGTGGTGTTTCACTGAGCTTTCAAAGTGAGTGTGAAGTGCTGTTTCACTGCGGCTTTGAAGTGAGTGTGAAGTGCTGTTTCACTGGCTTCTAGGTGAGTGTGAAGTGCTGTTTCACTGTGGTTTCAAAGTGAGTGTGAAGTGTTTCACTGCAGCTTCGAAGTGAGTATGAAGTGATGTTTCACTGTGGTTTCAAAGTGAGTGTGAAGTGGTATTTCACTGTGGTTTCAAAGTGAGTGTGAAGTGGTGTTTCACTGCAGCTTTGAAGTGAGTGTGAAGTGCTGTTTCACTGGTTTTGAAGTGAGTGTGAAGTGGTGTTTCACTGTGGTTTTGAAGTGAGTGTGAAGTGGTGTTTCACTGCGGTTTTGAGGTGAGTGTGAAGTGGTATTTCACTGTGGTTTCAAAGTGAGTGTGAAGTGGTGTTTCACTGCAGCTTTGAAGTGAGTGTGAAGTGCTGTTTCACTGGTTTTGAAGTGAGTGTGAAGTGCTGTTTCACTGTGGTTTTGAGGTAAGTGTGAAGTGGTGTTTCACTGGTTTTGAAGTGATTGTGAAGTGGTGTTTCACTGGTTTTGACGTGAGTGTGAAGTGGTGTTTCACTGTGGCTTTGAAGTGAGTGTGAAGTGGTGTTTCACTGCGGTTTCTAGGTGAGTGTGAAGTGGTGTTTCGCTGTGGTTTTGAGGTGAGTGTGAAGTGGTGTTTCACTGTGGTTTCAAAGTGAGTGTGAAGTGGTGTTTCACTGCGGCTTTGAAGTGAGTGTGAAGTGGTGTTTCACTGAGGTTTTGAAGTGAATGTGAAGTGCTGTTTCACTGTGGTTTTGAGGTGAGTGTGAAGTGGTGTTTCACTGGTTTTGAAGTGATTGTGAAGTGGTGTTTCACTGGTTTTGACGTGAGTGTGAAGTGGTGTTTCACTGTGGCTTTGAAGTGAGTGTGAAGTGGTGTTTCACTGCGGTTTCTAGGTGAGTGTGAAGTGTTTCGCTGTGGTTTTGAGGTGAGTGTGAAGTGGTGTTTCACTGTGGTTTCAAAGTGAGTGTGAAGTGGTGTTTCACTGCGGCTTTGAAGTGAGTGTGAAGTGGCGTTTCACTGAGGTTTTGAACTGAGTGTGAAGTGCTGTTTCACTGTGGTTTTGATTTGCATTTCCCCGATGACAGTTTATAGCAAGTTTTCTCATGTGCCTATTGGCCATTTCTTAGAGAAGTGTCTGTTCAGATCCTTTGCCCGTTTTGTTCGTTTGTGACAGAGTCTCACTCTGTCGCTCAGGCTGGAGTGCAGTGGAGCCATCTCAGCTCACTGCAACCTCTGCCTCTGAGGTTCAAGCGATTCTGCCTCAGCCTCCCGAGTAGCTGGGATTACAGGCACACACCACCACACCTGGCTAATATGTGGTATTTTTAGTAGAGGAGGGGTTTCACCATGTTGGCCAGGCTGGTCTCGGGCTCCTGATCTCAAGTGATCCACCCACCTTGACCTCCCAAAGTGCCAGCATTACAGGCGTGAGCACCGCACCTAACCTGCCCGTTTTTTAAATGGCTTCCTGGTCTTTTATTATCAAGTTGTAAGAGAGACTTGTATACTTCAGATAGAAGCCCCTTATCAGATATGGGATTTGCAGATATGTTCTCCCATTCTGTGGGTTGTCCTTTACTTTCTTGAGGATATCCTTTAAACACAAAAGTTTTTAATTTTGATGAGGCCAGAATATCTGTATTTTCTTTGGTTGCTCACACTTTTGGTATCACATCTTGGTGCGTGTTTTTAGCGGAATACTTCTCCCCTCAGAAGGAGTGAGGCAGGAGAGGCAGTTGGGCTGGGCTGAGTGGTTCCGCTGGGCTTAGGGTGGCCCTGAGGTTCCTTTTGGCTGGGAACTGAGGCCTGGTCTGCTTTCTGAGCCAGGGGCCTCCGGAGCCCACCAGGCCTCAGTTCTCTGGCATTGAAGACTCAGCCAGTTTATGGCTGGGAAAGCAGTTTCAACAAGGACTTGCTCCCTGGTTAGATCCACACAACAGCTGAAAGGTGAGAATCGGGACTCTCAACATAGGTGATCCTGGCTTGGAATCCAGGAATGCCACCAAGTGGCAGAGGCACATGGGAGGGACACTTCGTCCTTCTCAGCCCTGTTTTCTCACCTGTTACAAAGACAATGCAGCGATGCCACTTCTCAGCACTCAGGCATCGGGAGGGGACAGCTAGGGTCTTGGGAACTAACTCCTTCCTTCATCCCCAGCCATGAAAGCTGACCGGAAGCGCTTAAAGGGCGAGAAGACGGACCTGGTGAGCCAGATGCAGCAGCTGTACGCCACGCTGGAGAGTCGCGAGGAGCAGCTCCGCGACTTCATCCGCAACTATGAGCAGCACCGCAAGGTCAGTGCCGCCCTCCCCTCCCCTCCCCTCCCCACACTCCAGCCCTCCCATCCCCTCCCCTCCCAACACACCAGCCCTGCCTCCCTCCCCTCCTAACACACCAGCCCTGCCCCCTCCCCTCCCGACATACCAGCCCTGCCTCGCCTCCTGACACACAAGCTCCCACCTCCCTGCTGACTGGCCACCTTCACAGGGTCTGGCTCTTGAATCCCCAAGCACAGATAGGGACTCCTTTGATGTGGTCAGCCAGACCTAGGCACTGAAATAAAACCGGCATAGCCCCGGAGGGGGAGCTCCACGTCTCCTGGGCAAACAGGCCTAGACAGATTAGCACAGTCAGGGCAGCATGGACCCGGGAGTCCAGAGGGCTCAGATCCCGGCTCCTCCTGTTCGTGCCCTTGTGCGTCTCACTGGACTCAGAGCCTTAGTTTTTTCTCTGCAGAATGGTGATTGTGCTGGACCTTTCAAAGCTACAGTAAGGATTCTGTGAGTTGATGAAGGCCATGCACTCAGGCTGGTGCCTGGCACGTAGTAAGCATCATCGATAACACGCATAGCTGACATTTACCAACACCATAATAAAAATGTGAAGAGAGAGCTGGGGAGCCCCAGTGAGGCAGCAGGAAGTTCTTCCTATAGGGAGGGAGTCTTGGAAGGCTTCACAGAGGAAGTGACATATGCATTGGGCTCTGTGGGATGAGTAGGAGTTTATGGGTCAGATAACTGAGAAATTTGTTTCACCATGTATCTGTCTGGAGTCTGTGGTATGACATGCCAAAGAGGACACCAAAACTTAACAAGGGTCAGTCCCCTGGCTAGGTCGGTGGCTCATGCCTGTAATTCCAGCACTTTGGGAGACCCACGTGGGCAGATTGCTTGAGGACAAGAATTTGAGAACAGCCTGGCCAAAAGCCCATCTCTACTAAAAACACAAAAGTTAGCTGGGCTTCATGGTGCACACCTCTAGTCCCACTGCTCGGGAGACTGAGGCTCAGAATCACCGGAATCCGGGAGGTGGATGCTGCAGTGAGCCAGGACTGCACCACTGCACTCCAGCCTCAAGCCGAATGTCCCTCCCGCCTCTTTTCTGCCCTGTGTGGGCACCTTGATCACAGCCCTTGTCACAGGGCGTTCAGCTCGAGGCTCCTTGTTTGAACGGTGGGAAGCGGCAGGCGGGTGAATGGGTCTCTTCCCAGATGCTGCCTCCGAGCCCGAGTTAAGAGACCGGAGTGTCCCAGCCTGGATTTGAATCTAGATGCTGGGTCCCCCACACCCGCTTTGCTCTTCACCAGTAGTTGCTCAGTTACCTCCTGAGCACACACATCACTTCCTTTCTGTGATGAAAGGAGCCTCCAGGGTTCTTTGGGCCAGGCCACCACAGCTCCTGATGGGGATCCGGGGCTTCTAGCTGCCCTCGGTGCCCGACTCCCCCTACCCTGCCTGCTCCCAACCACCCCACCTGCCCGGCTCCCCCTTGCCCCTCCTGTCCCGCCCAGCTCCCCCTGCCCTGCCTACCTGGCCTGGCTCCCCTCTTCATGTTAGATGGACTGAGCCTCCCCACGCCTGCCACAGGCAAACAGTTTGGCAGGAAGGGGACAACCCAGAAGGGAGGCAGAGGGAGGCCACAGAGGCTGCTTTCTCAGGCTCCAGCATGGGGAGCAGCTTGTGGGCCTGGGGTCTGCTCCCTAGGGTGAGGCTCTCTCACCAGCATTGCCTTTGGCCACCATCGGGGAGGCAGAGGCCAGGGGCTCAGGAGTGACCTCCATGCAGAGGGAGGGAGGGGCAGGGGACCCCGCTCTCCTGTCTGATGATGCAGGTACAGGTGTGTGCTCACAGGCACGCGCTGTGGGAGTGACGGTGTGTACTGCCAGGACTTGCAGGCAGAGTTCTCAGAGCCTCGTGTGTGCCCATTAATTGCACACTCACACGGACACTGCAGGGCGCGTGGTTAGCCTCCCCCTTGACAGATGAGCCAACAGACACAGAGAGGAAATGCGGCTGGTGATGGCAGGGCAGGGGGCTTGCAGGGCCTGGGTCCAGAGCCTGGGTGTCTTCCTCCTGCACAGTGCGCCTCTTCCGCCAACCCTGTCTCCCCCTGGCAGCACAGCATCTTCTGGTCACCTCTGCTCCCTGCCGCCCCTTCTGGGTCCGCCTCTCTCATTTCTCCATCCTCAGCCCAAGGAGCTTGATCTTTCTTCAGTGGGTAAGGCAGGGAGAGCCTCTGCCTGTCCAGCCTATTACATGCCCAGCAGCAGGGAAACCTGGTCGCCTCTTGATTATTGGGGACGGTACACCGGGGGCATAGAACCAGCCCACAGCCTTCAGTGACGTGCTGGCCCCAGGGCAGGAGACAGGCTTCAGGCTGACCTTGTACTTGTCACCTGAGCCACCAGCTTCCTCCGCCTGGGACCAGGGTCACGCAGGGCCTAAGAGCACACAGCTAGGTTAGAATCTCACCTCCGAGCTCGCTGGTGGGGTGGCACGGGGAAACAGCGGACTCTCCCCGGCCCAGCCTGCACATCTGGAAAGCAGGATGAAGATCGCAGCTGCTCACAGCCCAGGGCTGTCAGCACTGAGGTTTCCGGGACCTGGAAGCCAAGTTGGGGTAAGGGCATATACTTGCTACCATTATGATTATCATTATCATTACCATTATTCCTGCTGAGTCAGCCATTTGATCACGAAAATTCCACAGTGGATTTCAAAGCCCCTCTCCCAGCCCCTGACCTGCGGCTCGCTGGTGTTGGTCTCACTGGCAAACCCGGAGAAGGAAACAAAGGCCCCAGGTGTGCAGGGTGGAGCTGTGGCTGGTGCCACACAGACAGCAGACGTAGGTCTGGTCTCTGGGAAAAAGGGGCGGAGGTAAGGCCTGTGCAGAAAGGAACCCAGATAAGACCTTCTGGGAAGGACAGAGGGTCTCAGAGGACCCAGGAATCAGGAGCCAGAAGAAAGGGCTCCCTTTGGCAGGCTGAGGCAGGAAGATCACAAGGTCAAGAGATTGAGACCATCCTGGCCAACACGGTGAAACCCTGTCTCTACTAAAAATATAAAAATTAGCGGGGCATGGTGACTCATGCCTGTAATCCCAGCTACTCGGGAGGCTGAGGCAGGAGAATTACTTGAACCTGGGAGGCGGAGGTTGCAGTGAACCAAGATCATGCCACTGCACTCCAGCCTGGCAACAGAGCGGAACTCCATCTCAGGAAAAAAAAAAAAAAAAAAAAAAAAAAAAAAAAGAGCTTCCTGAGAATGTGTGCCCTGAAGGAGGACGGATCAGGATTTAGAAAGCCTGGTGCAGTGGCTCACGCCTGTAATCCCAGCACTCTCAGAGGCCAAAGTGGGAGGATCACTTGAGCCCAGGAGTTCAAGACCAGCCTGGACAACAGAGTGAGACCTCCATCTCTACAAAAAATAGTAAAAATCAGCCAGGTAGCGTGGCACACGCCTGTAGTCCCAGCTACTTGGGAAGGATTGCTTGAGCCAGGAGAGTTACATGGCAGTGAGCCAAGATCGTGCCACTGCACTCCAACCTGGGGCAACAGAGTGAGACCTCCATCTCTACAAAAAAATTAAAAAATTAGCCGGGCATGGTGGCACATGCCTGTAGTCCCAGCTGCCTGGGAAGCCGAAGCGGGAGCATTGCTTGGGCCAGGGAGGTTGAGGCGGCAGTGAGCCAAGATTGTGCCACTGCACTCCAGCCTGGGCAACAGAACGAGACACTGTCTCAAAAAAAGAAAAGAAAAAGAAAAAAAAAAGAGTGCTGAGCAGAGTTCAAGAGGGTCCAAGAGATGCCGCTACCAGGTAATGGTCCTGGCAAGGATTGTGTTGCTGGCTGCCTTCAGAGGCCACCAGCAGGAACTGGCATGAACATAGTATTACCTATAGCAGATGCTGATTGTGCACCTACTGTATACAGGCATGAACATGATATTACCAGTAGCAGATGTTTATTGTGCACCTACTGTATACAGGTGTGAACATGGCATTACCAATAGCAGATGTTTATTGTGCACCTGCTGTATACACGTGAAAACATGGCATTACCAATAGCAGAAGTTTATTGTGTACCTACTGTATGCAGGCATGAACATGGCAAGTAGCAGATGTTTATCGTGCACCTACTGTATAAGGCATGAACGTGACATTACCAATAGCAGATGTTTATCGTGCACCTACTGTATAAGGCATGAACGTGACATTACCAATAGCAGATGTTTATTGTGCACCTACTGTATGCAGACATGAACATGATATTGCCCATAACAGATGTTTATTGTGCACCTACTGTGCATAGGCACTGCCCCCATGTCTTCACATTTGCTACTTTGATAGCAATCCTGTGATGAGTGGTTGTCCCTATTCCCTCCATTTAACAGGTGAGAACTGAGACTTAAAGTCATGGGCCCAGGGCCACACGATTGTGAAAAGGGTAGAGGCAGGAGGCAAACCCAGGAAGCCCGGCCCTGGAGCCCCAGCACCAGGGCATATAGGACCAGCCCTTCCCTGGTCCGCCCTCCTCCCACCACTCAGGACATGTTCAGAGGAACAAAGGAATGATTACCACTGTTTGCTGTTTTCAGCAACCCAAGGCCGACCACAGAGAGGAGGTCACACCTGTCCCCGTGAGCCGTGGGTGGAGTGCTGGCTATTTCAGTGGCCAACCCAGAGTTTCCTACAAATGCTTCTCTGTCTTTTCATGATACATCCCAATTTGGTTTTTAAAATTGTTTTGGCAAAAATGGTACATATTTGTGGGGTACATAGTGATGTTTGGATACTTGGAATGTATAGTGATCAGATCAAGGTAATGAATGTATCCATCTCAAAGTTTTCATCAGTTTGCTTTTATTCGGCCATAAAATTCCCATGGAGAGCACCACGTCGTTTTTTAAGTCATAGGTGACTAGGGGCATCCTCCCAGGTCTGACCAGCAGCTGGGGTGGGGTTGAAGCTACTGGATAGAAGCCTTGTAGCTATGGCTGCTGGGGCAGCTCCCTGTGGCCACAGCTGAGCAGCAAGTGTCACTTTTATTGAGTGGCTTCATAATGCACTTCAGGTTCATTTAGAAAAATGAAATTTGGAAAGCACTCATTTTTTAAAAATTAATAGCTTAATATTAAGATATTGGGCTGAGCGCAGTGGCTCACGCCTGTAATCCCAGCACATTGGGAGACCGAGGTGCGTGGATTACCTGAGGTCAGGAGTTCAAGACCAGCCTGACCAATATGGAGAAACCCCATCTCTACGAAAAATACAAAATTAGCCTGGCATGGTGGTGTGTGCCTGTAATCCCAGCTACTCTGGAGGCTGAGGCAGGCGAATTGCTTGAACCCAGGAGGTGGAGGTTGTGGTGAGCCAAGATCGCACCACTGCACTCCAGCCTGGACAACAAGAGCGAAACTCTGTCTACAAAAACAATAAAAATTAAGATATTAATATTAATATTAGAAGTGGAGAGAGTCACTCCTGTAGTTCCAGCAGATCGGTTGAATAATAACATTGAAACAATTTTTTAGTCATTGTCGGATTCAGCCCCATTTTACAGGTGGGAAGACTGACACCCACAGGGGTCAAGTGACTGACCCAAGACACGTGTTTAGAGCCAGTCTGGCAAAACTGAAGCCACAAGTCCTGGTTTTATTTCACCTCTTTTAAGATCTTGCAACTGGTTACCAGAAATGATTTGCAATTTTATGTGCAAGGTAAATGTCTCCCTGGAACAGGATGACTGGAACCCTCAGGTTCCCTAGCCCACTCGGCTGTGTCCCCCCCAGCCTGCCATGGCCCACCCAACTTCTCCAGGAGACTCCTGCAGGACTCTACTGGGACAGGCAGCAGGAAGGACCCCAGGCCCTGAGCTACTTGGGGGGTGTGGGGGGCAGCACGGGAACAAGGCTGCTGAGACAGAGGGGTCTTGGCCTGTCCAGAATGTGGCCGATGGCCGGGCGTGGTGGCTCATGCCTGTCGTCCAGCCCTTTGAGAGGCTGAGGCGGACAGATCACCTGGGATCAGGAGTCCAAGACCAGCCTGGCCAACAGGACAAAAGCCCGTCTCTACTAAAAACACAAAAAATGATCCAGGCATGGCGGTGCGCGCCTGTACCCACAGCTACTCGGGAGGCTGAGGTAGGAGAATTGCTTGAAAGCGGGAGGCAGGGGTTGCAGTGAGCTGAGATCGCACCACTGCACTCCAGCTTGAGTGGCAGAGCAAGACTCCATCTCAAAAAAAAAAAAAAAAAAAAAAAAAAAAAACAGCAAAAACAAACAAAAAAACAGAATATGGCAAATTTCAGCATCTCCGAAAGCTGTGCCAAATGCACTTTCCCTGTCACGTGACTGCAGATGGACGGGCGACTGGGGGACTCTCCATCCATCCAGCGGAGGAAGTTTGCAGCAGGCCAGGCAGCCAGGCTGAGGGCTAGACACAGGGTGATGCCGAGTGGAGAGGCCACATCAAACACGGGCTGCTTTCATCCCACCACTGCCACCTCCCCAGCCAACATCTTTTTTTAGATGGAGTTTTGCCCTGTTGCCCAGGCTGGAGTACAAGTGGCATAATCTCCGCACACTGCACCCTCTGCCTCCTGGGTTAAGCGATTCTCATGCCTTCGCCTCTGGAGTTGCTAGGATTGATTACAGGCACGCGCCACCACACCTGGCTAATTTTTGTATTTTTTTAGTAGACACAGGGTTTCACCATGTTGGCCTGGCTGGTCTCCAGCTCCTGACCTCAAGTGATCCACCCCGCTCGGCCTCCCAAAGTGCTGGGATTACAGACGTGAGCCACCATGCCCAGCCCACAGCCAGACCTTCATGCTCCTGCAGCCCCCTCCTCCTCCAATCTCCACATTCCACTCCCCTCTTTTTTTTTTTTTTTTTTTTTTTTTTGAGACAGAGTTTTGCTCTTATTGCCCAGACTGGAGTGCAATGGTGCGATCTTGGCTCACTGCAACCTCCGCCTCCCAGGTTCAAGCAATTCTCCTGCCTCAGCCTCCCAAGTAGCTGGGATTACAGGCATGTGCCACCACACCTGACCAATTCTGTATTTTTAGTAGAGACAGGGTGTCTCCATGTTGGTCAGGCTGGTCTCAAACTCCCGACCTCAGGTGATCCACTCGCCTCGGCCCCCGAAGTGCTGGGATTACGGGCGTGAGCCTCCAGGCCCTGCCACACTTCATTCTTACATCCATGTGATCCCCACGTGCTGGCAGCCCCAAAGAACCTTGGCTCCCGGGGCTGCCGTCCAAGGCCCCACAAGGTCTGGCCAAATCCCACCCTCGTAAATTCCCACCACCCCCACCCCCATCCAGTTCCAGACCTCCCAGGGGGGTCTCCTTTCAGTTCCTCTCCAGCCTCAGGTACCAGCAGAGATTAAGACCTCTGCTATGCTGTCTATGGGCTGAGGAAGCTGTTTTACTTCTCTGGTCCTCAGTTTGCTCATCTGTGAAATAGGGATAATTATAGTCCCTGCCTCGGGGATGGTTGTGAGGTTTAAACAGAATAATGCACCTAAAACCCTTAGCACTGTATGGAACATTCTGTGGCATTTGCTGCTGAGCCAAACTCTCCTGCTGTCAGGGAATATGACCCCAGGGAGGTGGGAGTCCAAAACTGAAAGCACCCACAAGGCCTTCCCACGAGGCCTAGCACCCTTGGTCTGTTCATGAGTATTCGTGTGAACCGGTGACTGCAATGAGACAAAAATGATCCTGAGGGTCCTAGTGGGGCCTCTTGTACACCAGCAGGTTCTCAGGGACAACCCTTAACTCCAGTAGTCAATGCTACACTGTAGCAGAATTTTTCACTATAAGCTCCACGAGTGTAGGGCTTTTTGTCTGGTTAATACCAGACAAATATCCACAAATATTAGTTGAATAACAGACTAGTATCAGCTTTAAATAAAGAAAACAGGTTAGAGAGGGCCTGGGGTTTCTCTCTTACATGGGTGGTCAGGGAAGGCTTCTCGGAGGAGGAGACATTTGAGCAGCAATCTGAGTGACACGAGCAGGTGACTGCTGGGAGAGCAGCCCCGAGAAGAGCTCTCCAGATGGATTCCCTCATGAGATCCACACAAACGCCCCAAAGTAGATGTGGTATTATTCCCTGGTTATAGATGGGGAAACTGAGGCAGAGATGACTCGCAGCAGTCATTGCAAAGCCAGAATTTGGCCCAGGTTCCCCCTCTGTCTCCAGAACCAAGGTCATAGCTACAGCTCTGTGACGGCCACGGAGAAAGGGCCAAGTTCTCTCCATCAGCCTCCCCTGTCCCACCATCTGGAATTGAGGCCTTCAGAGACAGGCCTGTCAGACAAGGCAGGACGGTGGCCTCTCTCCATGGTCCCAGGCCACACGGAGACCTTGGATTTGCTTTCGATTCGGTGAATGGGAAGATGGTGGCTGGGTGGGTGGATGGGCAGGGCGCCCCCCCCTCCGGGCCCGTCCTTTTGAGAAGGATGCCTGTTGTTCTGAAACGTTGCTCCGGCCAACGGAGGTCACAGCCCCAATTCAGCTGTCTGTTCCTTCCCTGCTGGCTCTGCCCTGGGGACTGGCACAGCCAGGGCCCGGCCCTTCCCTGGACAATCACAGAAAACAGCTCAGGCAGAAGGACCGGCCTGGGGAGGGGTCTCCGACGAGCGACCCAGGACTGTGCCATGTTCCGGACACAGCAGCTGTTTCTCTTCTGGGCTGTGACTCTGTGGGGTGGTGGCCGGACTGTGTGGCACTCCAGACAATTAGGGTTGCTGGTGCCTCCTTGCTATGGACCCTGTTTCCCTGTGATGAGCACAATTTACCAAACAGAACAAAGCCCCACAGCAACGCCTGCACCCTAACTTCCGTCAGACCGTGTGAAGTATTTCCTGCACGTGAAGTCATTCAATCTTTAGCATTCTCAGAAATAGGTAGGACTGACCCCTGGCCCATTTTACATCCGGGGGAACCCAAGCTTGATGAGGGAAAATGGCTTCCCCAAAGCAGCTGTTTGCTCACGTATTCATTCATGCAGCAAAAAAAAGTATTTACTGAGCATCCGCAAGGTGCGTCTCTGTTCCAGTCTTCCAGCTAGTTTGTGACAGAGCTGGGGTTCAAGCCCACAGCTTTCCCACCACAGAGCCAGAGCCCCTGGCCACATGTCATGGGGTCTCCCCACTTCTTTTTCTTTTCTTTCTCTCTTTTTTTTTTTTTTTTTTTTTGAGACAGAGTCTTGCCCTGTCACCCCGGCTGGAGTACAGTGGCACGATCTTGGCTCACTGCAACCTCCAACTCGAGGGTTCAAACGATTCTCCTGCCTTGGCCTCATGAGTAGCTGGGACTACAGGTATGCACCACCATACCCGGCTAATTTTTTGTATTTTTAGTGGAGACGGGGTTTCACCGTGTCAGCCAGGATGGTCTCGATCTCCTGACCTCGTGATCCACCCACCTCGGCCTCCCACCTGGGGGCCGGACACAGTGGCTCCTGCCTGTAATCCCAGCAATCTCTCTAGCGATCAGGCCCTCTTTAGGTGTCCCTGGGCCTAGAGGAGCCTGGTCGTGACACGCACATTACTCTCTCGCTCTCCCACCCACAGGAGAGCGAAGATGCCGTCAAAGCGCTGGCCAAGGAGAAGGACCTGCTGGAGCGTGAGAAGTGGGAGTTGCGACGCCAAGCCAAGGAGGCCACGGACCACGCCGCGGCCCTGCGCTCCCAGCTGGACCTCAAGGACAACCGCATGAAGGAGCTGGAGGCCGAGCTGGCCATGGTGAGAACCCTCCCCACCCAGGTGGGCCTGGCATCTGCCAACAGTGCCGCGGTGGGAGCCAGGACATCTGGCACGATGGGCTCACCCCGGAGTCCTAGGGTGGGGTGGGTGGGGCAGAGCCGGACACAGGCGGAGTGGCAGGGCCCGCAGCGGGAGGGGCTTTCTGCAACGCTCCGTAAACTTCCCTCCAAGACCATGCCCCACAGCCTGGGCCAGCTTTTTACCCGCCTGCTTTGGGCCCAGGGAATCTGGGGACCCTGGGAAACCATTCACCCTCCCACACACCCCAGCCTACGGTTAGGAGAAAAAAGGGCCAAGTGTGGGGGCTCATGCCTGTAACCCCAGCAGTTTAGGAGGCCGTGGCAGGCAGACTGTTTGAGCCCAGCCTGGAAAACATGGCAAAACCCCATCTCTACCAAAAAATACAAAAAAAAAAAAAAAAAAAAAAAAGCCAAGCATGGTGCATGCCTGTGGTCCTGTTGCTGAAGCAGAAGGATTGCCTGAGCCCAGGGGGCGGACGCTGCAGGGAGCCGTGGTCACGCCACCACACCCAGCCTGGGCGACAGTGACACCCTGTCTCAAAAAAAAACAAGGAAAAAAGGTTTGTTGTGTTTAAAAGATACATATTTTCTTAGGAAAATATTTGGGAGAAAATACATGGAAATATTAACATTCATTCTCTCATAGTGGTAGGATTTCAAGTGACTTTTATTTATTTCTGTTTGTTTATTGGCCTCTTTTCACATGTCTCTGCAGCAAAAATGTCTTATTTGGGTCATTAAGGAAATAAATAATTTTTTCCTAACCCAAACCAGACCCTCAAAATACTTCCAAGCACTTTGTTTTCCCAGGAGGTGCATAGCCTTCGCATGTGGGGACAGAGAGTCCGGGTGGGGACACAGACCTGCGGTCTGTTCTGCTGCTCCTGTATGACCTTGGCCTGCTCACTCGACTCCAGGCTTCAATGCCTTTTACTTGTTACTGGGTCGGGGGTGGGGTCTTAATCCCGCCCTCCCTTCCCCACAGGGTAGCTGGGCAGATCCAGGGAGCCCACAGCTAGTGGGAACTCCAGAAGTCACCAGGGGCTCAGTGTGACAGTGGCCGGGAGGAGAATGTGGGAGGAGCTCCTGGGGAGTAGGGGGAGGGGGAGGACGTAGCTCTTAGATTAGGCGTCCCCAAACTTTTTACACAGGGGGCCAGTTCACTGTCCCTCAGACCGTTGGAGGCCGCCACATACTGTGCTCCTCTCACTGACCACCAATGGAAGAGGTGCCCCTTCCTGAAGTGCGGCGGGGGGCCGGATAAATGGCCTCAGGGGGCCGCATGCGGCCCTCGGGCTGTAGTTTAGGGACGCCTGTCTTAGAGGATTTGTCATCCTGCAGAGTGCTAATGTCGGCTAACGGTGTGGTTGCAGCGTGTGATCTGGATTCGAATCCAGCCCCAAGTGCTTCCCAACTGTGTGACTTTGTGCAGGAGCCTTCACCTCTCTGGACCCCATATCTGTCAACTCAGAACAGAAACAATGGCATATATAGTTGACCCTTAAACAACGCAGGGTTGAGGGGTGCCGATCCCCTGTGCAGCTAAATCCATGTATAACTTTTGACTCCCCTAGCACGTAACTGCTAGTTGCCTGCTGTTGACCAGAAGCCTTACTGAGAACACCGTCAGGGAGCACATCTTGTGTGTTAACTGTATCGTGTACTGTATTTGTATTAGTCCGTTCTTACACTGCTATAAAGAAATCGCTGAAACTGGGTAATTTATCAAGGAAAGAGGTAGGCCAGGCATGGTGACTCACGCCTGTAATCCCAACACTTTGGGAGGCCGAGACAGGAGGTTCACGAGGTCAAGAAATCGAGACCATCCTGGCCAACATGGTGAAACCCCGTCTCTACTAAAAATACAAAAATTAGCCGGGCGTGGTGTTGCGCACCTGGAATCCCAGCTACTCGGGAGCCTGGAGCAGGAGAATCTCTTGAACCCGAGAGGGAGAGGGTGCAGTGAGCCAAGACTGCACCACTGCACTCCAGCCTGGCGACAGGGCGAGACTCCATCTCAAAAAAAAAAAAAAAAATAGGAAAGAGGTTTAATTGACTCCCAGTTCCGAATGGCTGGGGAGACCTCGGAAACTCATAACCATGGCAGATGGCAAAGGAGAAGGAAGGCACTTTCTCTACAAGATAGCAGAAGGGAGAATGAATACAGGAGGAGCTGCCACACAGTTCCAAACCGTCAGATCGCGTTAGAATTCTGTCACTGTCGTGAGAACAGCATGGGGGAACCATCCCCGTTGTCCACTTACCTGCACCTGGTCCCTCCCTTGACACGTTGGGATTACAATTCAAGATGAGGCTTGGCTGGGAACACAGAGCCAACTCGATCAGTATTCTTAGAATAAAGTAAGCTAGAGCAAAGAACATGTTATTAAGAAAATCAGGTCGGACGCAGTGGCTCACACCTGTAATCCCAGCACTTTGTGAGGCCAAGGAGGGCGGATCACTTGAGGTCAGGAGTTCGAGACCAGCCTGGCCAACATGGTGAAGCCCCATCTCTAATAAAAATACAAAAATTAGCCTGGCATGGTAGCAGGTGGCTGTAATCCCAGCTACTCAGGAGGCTGAGGCAGAAGAATCACTTGAACCCGGGAGGCAGAGGTTGCAGTGAGCCAAGATTGCACCATTGCACTCTAGCCTGGGCGACAGAGTGACACTCCTTCTCAGAAAAAAAAAAAAAAAAAAAAAAAAAGGAAAGAAAAGATTAGCCAGATTTTGTGGCAAACACCTGTAGTCCCAGCTAATCAGGAGGCTGAGATGGAAGGATCAATTGAGCCTGGGAAGTCAAGGCTGCAGTGAGCCATACTTGTGCCACTGCGCTCCAGCCTGGGCAACAGAACAAGACTCCATCTCAAAAAAAAAAAAAAAAAAGAAAAGAAAATCATAAGGAAGAGAAAATATATTTGCTATTCATTAAGTAGAAAAAGAGGATCGTCATCAAGGTCTCCATCGTCATCGTCTTCAGGCTGAGTGGCTGAGGAGGAGGGAGAGGAAGGATTGGCCTTGCTCTCAGCAGTGACGGAGGTGGAAGAAAATCCACTGATAATCGGACCTCTGCACCCATGCAGTTCAGACCCACGTGGTTCAAGAGTTGAATGTGCTTTGTAGGGCTCCTGTGAGATTTCCAAGAAATAAAGCAGAAGCAGCACTTGGCAGGGGGCCCGGATGCCTGGACGTGGTAAAACCACCCGCAGGATTGTTGTCTAAGGACCAGGCCCCCCAGGGCAGGCCAGGACACGATCCCGGGGCCTCACCTCGGTCTCCTTGTCCAATGCTGACCCCTAGTGGTGAGAATTGCTGGGCAGGAAAAAGCCGTAGGGACCCCTGGGGTCCCCGGGGGTTCCCACCGGTGGGTGGGGTTGGTCATGCTGGAGGCCCTGCTGCCACCTGCAGCCCAGACAGAAGGCTTTGAACTTGCCGGCTGGGAAAAGGCCCCTGTTCCCCCAGGTCTTCCTCATGCCTCACGGGCAGACAAGATGTGTCTTCCTCACCTTGGAGTCCCGACCTTAGGCATCCGAGGACTCCCTGGGTCTTTCTGGCCTAGGATCCAGCTCACACTGGCTTCCACTCCCACGGCGTCTGGACACAGCTTGTTTCAGGTCTGACCAACAAAACTCAGATTCTGGCCTCCTTCTGGCAGACATCAGATGCATCTGCCAGTGCCAATGTTGGCATCTCAGGCTGATTTATGTTCGTGTTAACAGCACAGGCAGTGTCCACCCAGGTCTCGGAGGCAGAGGGAAGAGGCTTCATGAGCAGCTGTGACGGGCCCAGTCTTGGGGTGTCCACCTGACCGCAGGCTCCCTCCATTGCCACCATCCCCAGAGTTTCACAGCCAGGCCGTGTTGTCTGCAGGCCCAGCTCCCCGCACACGGCTGACCCTGCCTCGGGGGTTGCCTTAAGTTCTGGGTTGCAAGCAACAGAAAGCAGCCCTGCTCTGCCGGTGGAAGGAGGTCGGGGTCCACGGTGCAGTGGGGAGGTGGAGGGCGCAGCTTAGCAATGGCAGACGCCCCGGCAGCTGCAGGCCGGGCGCAGTGGCCTTTCCCTATAATCCCAACAGTTTGGGAGGCCAGAGTGGGCAGATCACTTGAGGTCAGGAGTTTGATACTGGCCTGGCCAACTTGGGGAAACCCTGACTCTACTAAAAATACAAAAGTTAGCCAGACATGGTGGTGTACACCTGTAATCCCAGCTACCCAGGGGGCTGAGGCAGGAGAATCACTTGAACCAGAAGGCAGAGGTTACCATGAGACGAGATCGCACCACCGCACTCCAGCCTGGGCGACAGAATGAGACCCCGTCTCAAAAAAAGCAGCAGCTGCAGAGGTGGGGAGCCAGGCCCCTTGGGGAACGGTGCGCTCAGCAGCCCCTGCGGCTGGGGGATGAACGTGTCCCCTTTGTCTTCTGATTAAATCTTACCTCGGTGAGATCCATGCAGCGTGCCCAGTGGCCTATCTTGGGCCACTGACTTGCCCCTTATCTTGGGGTCCTGGCTGTGCCTGCTGGTGCTGGGCAGTTTCCTCAGTGACCCCGGGGTGCTGCCCCAGAAGTGGCAGAGGTCACACCTGCAGGCGACATTGAAGCCGCTGGGAAAGCAGGTACTGGGGAAAGAGTCCAGGCTGGTGCCGACTGAGGGCTGAGCGGCCCGTCAGGACCCAGGCATCGTCCCTGCCCCCACGTCCTGAGGAACCAACTCCGGGCCGCCCCATACACCCTCTTCACTGCTTCACTTGGGGACAAGCCAAAAAGACATTTGCTTCAGCAGACGTTTCCCAAGAAGCAAAGGCCTCTGTTGGCATTTAGCGATGAGGGTGGGCACCCTGAGGCCTGCTCAGCTGTCTCCCCTTGCTGGGGCATTACCCACATGGCATCTTCTCTGTAATCACATTGGCCCCATTGGACCGTGTGTGTGTGTGTGTGTGTGTGTGTGTGTGTGTGTGTGTA